CTCTTCCTTACATCTCATTATTTTCCTTATATCTTACAATTTTTATTCATCCAAAGGTATCAGCCTTTGTTGTCACAACGCTGTACTGGGAACTCATTCAGTTATTTCATCAGTTTGGCTCTCGATCTCTTACAGTCCCTGAACTGTGACATCCTGGAAAGCAGTGATTCTGAATTTTCTGTCACAGATATGTAACTCTGCATTTGGCTCTATTACAATACTTTGTTTAAAATATTACTAATCGTCATCATTCTATTTCAGCATTACATTCTCAACACTTACAACTCAATCAGTATTTGCAATTTAACTATTTACATTTTCTTGTAGTCTTTAATGAATATACACTGAGACTACCGCTAACTCCTGCAGTATTCCTACAAGAAACACTTCTATTCAAATAAACTCCCATACCGCAAAACATTTATCAGCCTGTCAAATAATTGCTGCTTACTGCATAAAGACATATACTTTCATGTTACTATATACAACTATCTTGACCTCTCTCTGTAAGGACACGAGCAAGCTCTTCATCTATCTCCTCCAACAACTTCTGACCCCATGGACTAATTCCAAGCAAATATGACAGAGTAGTCTTAAAGATAGCGTATTCCAAGAGTACCCCTCTGGCACTAGGGGACAGTATTAATCTCCACTAAGAAAACGGCACTTGTAACTCAGCTTGTTACTTGGAGCACAGGCTCTCGCTCTCAGTCAGCACGCACACCCCTGCGTGCCCACGCGTGCGCGCGCACACACACACTTTCTAACCAGCAGCCAAACACATTGTCCGTCATCCGGCTGAACAGACAGGCTGGGTGTGAGGGAGGACATGAGAGAAACACAAGGAGACCAGAACGAGCTACTAGACAAGACGCAATATGAGTCACTAGGAAAACAAGCTTTGTCAGTTTTGACACTCGGGACAACCATACCACTGAGCGTATTTTAAAATTCAGGGAATAATTAAGGTGGGAAGAAACCTCTGGAGACCAGCTGGTCCAAAGCCCTCTCAAAGCAGGAGCAGCCTCAAAGCTCAGTCTGACTTCAAAGTCGGATTGCGGTGACTTTCACAGTTCGACCCTGTTGCTTAGGGTCGCCTCTCCGGTCAGGCTGTGAACACCTCTCAGGATGGCGACTCCGCACCTATTCCAAAGTTCTCACCCCTCCCCGGGGAGCCTGTTTTTCCTAGTATTTAACAGGAACGGCACGCCTTTGTCGGCCAGCCCGAGGCGGCCGGTGAGGCTC